AAAAACCTTATTAGTTTCTGGTATTCAAAAGCTTTCATCTTTGTCCCTCTAGCATTGTAGGTTAGGACATGTTTCTTGTTTTAGACTTCAATATTTGGTATCTAGTAGCAAGTTAGGTTATGTTAAGTTAGAAACATTCAATAATTGTATTAGTTACAAACAAGCAAAATAGTTTATTTTACCTTTCAATAAAAGTGAATCAATTTTTTTATTTTCTTTTAATCTTGTTCATTCTGCTATATGAGGCTCATCTTACCTATTATGGGGGTTATTGTTATTATGTTATTTTTATTAATAATTATAAGAAGTACAATTGGATTTATTTATTTCGACATTGTTTGAATTTACTTAAAATTTATCAAGATTTTTTTGCCATGATCAAAACACTGTTCTTTAAAACTATTAAACATTGTCGTGTTGATTCTGCTAGGGAGTATCAATCAAGTAATTTAAATAAGTTTCTTGCTTCTCAAGGTACTCTTTTTGAATCATCTTGTATTAATACACTATAGCATAATGGTACTGTTGAAAGAAAGTATTATCATATTATGGAAACCACTAAAGCCTTCTTGTTATCTTTATTGGTTTTTAAGAAATTTTAGGGGAAAGCTACACTTACTTCAGTTTATGTTATCAATTGAATTTTTTTCATCTGTCATTGTTGGAATTTCTCTTTTTGAATGCTTGTATAACAATACTCCTAATTATTTTAAGCTTCGTATTTTTGGTTTTACATATTTTGTTTTGCTTCCTAAAGTTCAATGTGATAAATTATCTAAAAAAACTACCATTTATGTGTTTTTAGGGTATGGGATTGGACAAAAACAATATTGTTGCTATGATCCTATTGCACAAAAACTTCGTATTTCTCAGTTGTTACTTTTTAGAAAAATATTTTGATGTATTTTTCTCATTTTAAAAAATCTACCAATGATCCTCATGAGTTTCATATCTTTTTTTATCTTTTTACTGATTTAAATGGCTTTAATCAATCTTTCCATGTCTCCTAAAGTTCTTCAACCCCTCAGCAGATTCATCTAAATAAAGCTTATCCCATTACTGACTCTATCATAAGTAATCATGCACCACCATTGTCTAATTCATTAGAGCAGTTTGTTTCAAAACTTAGATGTTCAACACGTGAGCAAATTCCTTCAAAATGTTATTATGATTTTCATTGTTTCTTATCTACCATTCTTTCTATTTGTAAACCTAAATCTTATCGTGAAGCAAGTTCTAATCTTCTTTGGCAAGCAGCTATGAAAGAAGAATTAGATACCTTAAAGAAAACTCATACTTGGAATCTTATTGATTTACTTCTTTGAAAATCTATAGTAGATTATAAATGGTTGTACAAGGTAAAGACTAAATTAGATGGGTCTATCGAGAGATATAAAGCTAGGTTGGTTACAAAAGGATTTACTAAGGAGTATGGTATTGACTATGAAGAAACCATTGCTTTTGTAGCTTGAATGACTTATGTTCAAACTTTTATAGCTATTACTTCTATTCGATGATGGATTTTATCACAAATGGATGTAAAAAATGCTTTCTTGAATATAGATACTTGTGAAGAAGTTTATATAAAACCTCTTCTTGGATTGTTTTGCCAAACTAATCAAGTGTGCAAGCTTCGACAAGCTTTATATGGTCTTAAACAAGTATCGCATTTTTGGCTTGAGAATTCAACACTATTTTGCTTGACTCAGGATTTGTGTAAAGTCTTTATGATTTAGCATTATTTATTCATTGATCTAAAAAAGGTATTATATTTTTGCCTCTCTATGTTGATGATATGGTGATAACTGGAAATGATAACCTTGGTATTCAGAATATAAAAAATCATCTTAGCAAAACTTTTGAGATGAAATATTGTGGTCCATTATGATATTTTTTAAGAATTGAAGTTAATTATTCTTCTCATGAATATGTCTTATCTCAAGTGAAATATACTTCTAATCTTATTTCTAAAGTTGGCTATCTGATAATAAAATGTCTGACACTCCTTTTAAAACTAATGTCAAAATGAAAGCTACTGATGGAGAACTTCTCAATGATGTTACTTTGAATAGATAGTTGGTTGGTAGTCTTATATATTTGACAGTTACAAGACTTGATATTAGTCATGTAGTTCAAGTTGTGAAACAATTTATAATAGCACCTCAGATAATTCACTTTGCTACAGTTCTTAAGATATTGAGATATTTGCAAGGAATGCTACATAAAGGTTTGTTGTTCTTATCAACTTTTAAACGTAAACTTCATGCTTTTTCTGATTCTAACTGAGTTGGTGAAGTTAATGATCGACATTCTACAACTGGTTATTATATTTTTTTGGGTGATTATTTAATATCTTAAAAAAGCAAAAAACAGATAATTATGGTGTGTTTACATGTTGAAGCAAAGTATAGAGCTTTATCGGATACTATAGCAGAAATTATGTAGTTGTGTCAATTACTTATGGATTTAGGTGTTGACATGCCTACTTCTATTCCATTCTTTTGTGATAGTAAAAGTGTAATTCAACTGGCTCATAATAATAATTTTCATGAATGGACAAAACATATTAGAATATATTGTCATTTTATCAGACAAGAGATACACAAAGGCACTATCATGCTATTGCATATTTTTTTTTGAATTATAAGTAGTGGATCTTTTTACAAAGTCTATTTCAAGTTCACGTTTTTGTTATTTAGTTTCCAAAATCCAAATGTTTCATTTCGAACCATCTTCAGTTTGAGGGGTTGTTAAAATATATATTATGTTTAGTTGACTTATAAGGTTGGGCTTTATTTTTGGATATATCTCGTGGGCATTAAACCCATTTATACATGTGTGTATATATATGTGTGTGTGTGTGTGTGTATTTTACAACCTTAGAAATAATATGATTTTTCACTCTTCAAGTCATCAAAAATTTTATTAAAGGTATTTTAATCAATCACCTTTAACACTTTTTAGTCTAATTATAAAAAAAGTCTAATAATAAAAAAATTATTTAAATTAAAATTTATAAAAAAATTTACTAAATATATTTTAACCAATCACTTTAACACTTTTGGAATTAAAATTTTAAAATGTTAAATAGTCTCTATTTTTAATTTTAATTGATTTAAATTAAACATAAATAAATTAAGAAAAGTTGTATTTTCATTTGATGCGCAAAATCATTCTACTAATAAAATTAGTATAATAATAAAAAAGTCATTTAAATTAAATTTTATAAAAAAAAATTTTAATGATAGTTTAATCAATTACTTTTAATATTTTTGGATTTAATTTTCTTAATAATATTTTAGTCAATCACGTTTAATAGTTTTTTAGTTTAATTCATTTAAATTAAAATTTATAAAAATATTTAGTAAAGATATTTTATCCAATTACTTTTAACACTTTTGGAATCAAAATTTTAAAAATTTAAGCAATTTAATTTCATGTAAACTATATTTTTAATTTTAGTTGATTTTAATTAAATTTAAATAAATTAATAAAATTTATATATATATATATTTAAGAATAAATTTGTTAATTTAAAATTTATAAAATTATTTAAGTCGATCATTATTAACACTTTTAAAATTTATATTTTTTTATATAAATAATATAATCAATTAAAATCTACCTACAAAAAAAGTCGTAATCATACCCAATTCATGGAACAAGAAAAGAAAGTTAAAAAAACAGTCATATCTTCCAATTACCTAGAAAATGTCCTGCATCAAAAGGTTATAAGAAAAACAATAACCAAAAATTGACAATTCATACTTAACCTTAATATAATCTTGTAATCACCATCAATCCATTTCTTGCTTTTTATTTTGAATTTTTAAGGGTCCATTCATAAAATGCACGTTGCGGTGCAATGAAAGTCTTCTTATCAGACTCTCAAATGAACTGCTAGTCCTTAACTTGTTGCAGCTTGCAACATTATGGCATGAGTAAATGTTCCATCCATTTTGTGGAAAGGCATAAAAATATAGCACAATAATGATGCAAAATACTCGCTTGATTGATTTTTTTTTTATTATGTTTTAATTTAACCTTTTAGTTTTTTTTTTTTTTTTACCAAAATCTGTTTAAATTCTCACTAACCAAAAAATGCAAGACTATAATGAAATGACATTGGGAAGATCTCATTATTGGATTTTTTGGCCAATCAAAGCATTAAGGTACCAATTTAATTTGAAATTGGTCCTCTAAACAAAAATAATAATTTACTTTAGTTCAATATTAATACTTAATAGGAAAATAAAATGATTAGTTAATATTTTAATTTAAGAAACAAAATTAATTAAGGAAAGTTTATTTTAATAATTAAAAACTTCAGTGTTAATAAAAAAATAAATAAAACTAATCAATATTTTAATTTAATAAAAAGTCATTAACTAAGTACAAAATAATTAACTTAAAAAATTATCAAAGATACATGTCTATAACATTACGAAGAATGTGCAATGGTGAATTGGGTTGGATCGAGTTGTATTGGAATAGTTTTCGATAAAATATTATTTAATTTGTCACATAAAAAAAAATTTTAAAATAATTTAATCACTTTTATTTTATTTTTAAATTATTTTAATTTAATTAGATATAAAATAAATAATGATTCAAAGGTGAATTCTAATTGATTAGATTATGAGTTTTTGAACTTTAATTGATCAAATTATGTGTCTTTTATCTTAATCTAAGTAACTGTGATATAAATCTTCAATTAAAATTTTTAACCAACTAGATATTTAATTTAATTGATTAAATCATTTTCATCAAATTTGGACACGTGCATGGATCTTATCAACTTATCGTAGCATTCAGATTCTATTATAATCTATACAGATGCTCGAAGGATTCTAAAACCACCACGTGTCCATTGTTTTATAAATGTTTTAGGGAAAACCGGCTCGGGTTGGGGAAAGCAGCAGTTGGACAGGTGGTGTTTTGCCAACTCTACGTTACAGGCAGATATTCCCTCTCCTTTGCTTTTTTTAATCCTTTCCTTTTCCCTTCATCACTCCCAACGCCTCCCCTCCTCTCTAGTCTCTTCTTTCTAACTCTTTTTAACTCAACAACACTACACTAAACAAACAAAATAAATCTATCAACAACTCTGTACCACTGTAATTTATGGCAATGGCTCACCAAAGTTCTGATCGCTTAACCTCTGTTGGTACGCGCTATTGAATTAGAATCTCCGTAAACGAAGAAAGAAAAAAGAAGCCTTCCTTTTAGGCTGTTCATTTTCAATGTTGCTTCTATCGGTGTTGTGGGTTTAGTTCTAAAAAAGCTTTAGAGGAAACCATCAGCCAAAGGCAAAGGAGGAGCAGGTAGGACCCGCCTTCCGACTCAAACAACAACCAAAGCGGGAATGATGAGATTGGGCAGTGGAACCAAGAATAGAAAGTCCCGGTGGGCAGATGATTAGCCGAAGCCGGTAATTCAGCTTCCTCATTTCATGAAAGATTTTACTGGAGGTATCCAATTTGACCCTGAAATTCAAACTTTGGATAGTAGGTTGTTAGAGATTAAAAGAATGTTGCCATCTGGATTGCCATTGGATGATAGACTTGAGGGATCTAGGTCTCCTTCACTCGAACCTTCAAAGAATAGGAACTTGCATGTTTTAGTTGAGGCTGAAACACAAGAATCACTTGATGTTGCCGCTGCTACGGTGGAAAAACTCTTGCAGTCTGTTGATGAAGTATTGCATGAGCATAAGAGGTTTGACATTTGTTTTTATTTTTCATTTTCTTTAAATATACTTATACACTATATACAAACTTAAAACCACACCAGAAGAGTAAACATCTGATTTGCGAGTTAAAGTTCTGTTTCTGCCATATTCAGGGTCCAAATATCCAAAGGTACCCTTTGGTCCTGAGTTGACTCGGTTCCTACAGGATCTCGCAGTCTTGCCTACTTTTGACAGGCCAAAATCTGAGACTTTGGCCACCCAATATTGATCCAGGAGTATGTTTGTTGATTTGACGTCCCGGTGAATGATGGAATGCTCTGTGCCCGTGTGGAGGTAGTGTAATCCACGAGCAGCATCAATGCAAATCTTGAGCCTCTGAGTCCATGACAGTGGTGGATTTTGAGTCCAGTAGAAATGTTCACGTAGAGTGCCATGAGCCATGTAATCATATATCAGGAATTGTCCTCTTGAAAATATCCAAGCAAAGATACAATGTTCATGTGACGAAAAGTGGAGAGCAATTCGATTTCAGTTTTGAACTCTTGGACTTCTTGGTGGGACTCAGGATTTTTGCCCTTAACTGCCACTTTGGTGAACCCATCCTCCAGTAGACCCTCATAAACCTGACCGAACCCGCCACAACCAAGCACAAGAGCTTCACTGAAATTATTAGTGGCAGCTTTTATCTCTTCCAAGGGAAATTGACTGGCAATGATCTGAAGATTTAACATTTAGGCTGCCTATTTTACCAAGGTTTTTCTCGTAATGTTTCGAACTCCAATGAGAAACCAGGTAGACTGTTAGAGAGACTAGACAAATTCCAAAAACCATACCCAGAACCAATCCAAGGAAGATATTAGATGGGGTAGTCTTGCGCCGATTATCTACTTGAACATGAGCTGCAAGATTTTTACTAGTATCGCTCAACTTCAAGATCTCAACTCCATTCAGTATTACATCAGCAAGTTGTGGCTTTGAATCAGTGTTAGGCTGCTAGGCAAGCCAAAGATCATTTCTTCCTCCTTTCATTTCTGAAACCGTGATTATATAGTCTTTATGCATTGCAACCAAAGGACCACCAGCTATAGAAACCATCCAGTAGACCCTCATAAACCTGACCGAACCCGCCACAACCAAGCACAAGAGCTTCACTGAAATTATTAGTGGCAGCTTTTATCTCTTCCAAGGGAAATTGACTGGCAATGATCTGAAGATTTAACATTTAGGCTGCCTGTTTTACCAAGGTTTTTCTCGTAATGTTTCGAAATCCAATGAGAAACCAGGTAGACTGTTAGAGAGACTAGACAAATTCCAAAAACCATACCCAGAACCAATCCAAGGAAGATATTAGATGGAGTGGTCTTGCCCCGATTATCTACTTGAACATGAGCTGCAAGATTGTTACTAGTATCGCTCAACTTCAAGATCTCAACTCCATTCAGTATTACATCAGCAAGTTGTGGCTTTGAATCAGTGTTAGGCTGCTAGGCAAGCCAAAGATCATTTCTTCCTTCATTCATTTCGGAAACCGTGATTATGTAGTCTTTATGCATTGCAACCAAAGCACCACCAGCTATAGAAACTATATCCAGGCAGCTTTCCACTGTCTTGTTGTTGATATACACGTTGAACACTCTCTCTTTCACTTCTGTTACATATAGTTGAATCTCTCATAAATGAAGCCTAACAATGTATTTGAAACCTGAGTCAACGGGAAATGTCCATGTCAGATTGTACCCCTCATTGTCAGCCTCATCACTACCACCAATTGTCCTGACTGTACTGTACAGGTCCCCAGGTGCTCCATATTCACTTAATGTCCAAGAGCTTTTATTGTAGTCTATATGACATCATATGCTTCAATAGAAGTGCCATTTCTAGAACCCTGTATGTGTAGATGGTCATCCAGCCCAATCCCGAACGGCTGATTCAGACTGTCACTACCTACGTTGATTCTGTGAAGTATCTGAAGCGCAGGTTCGTCTTGAATGGAGGTAGCATTGGAAGTTTCCTTCACTTCATAATCAGAGAGTTTGAGGGACATTGAGTAAATCTCTATCCCATTTACAAAGGCAAAAGCATCTGAAATATTTGGTGATGGAGCGAAGGTGATATTCAAAAACTGTTTCTTTAAGTTAAGGAGGAAATCTTTAGTGAAATAAGGTGATTTCAAAATGCTTGCCATTACAGAAGGGCTAAAATTGTTTAAGAAAGTGTAATTGCCAGAGGTGACAGAGAATTCGACCCTGGAGATTTGGTCTATGGCAGTGTAAGAAGTAGGGTAGAAATGAAGGCGAATAAACTTGAGGCCGGGGGACATAGGGAAACTATAGGTGAAAGAAGAACGAAAGAAGCGTGCAGTTGCATATGGATTCCCCAGAACCTTTCCGGTTATATTTGAAATCACACGGCCGATCCTTGTTTCTTCATAATAATCCGGGAAAAGATTTACATCCCCAATCCAAGTTTACCATCAAACGATGAGTTTCCTGCATATCCGCCGTCAAGAATTACTTGGTCCGAGGAGGAAAAACAATTCCAGGAATTGAACAAGAAGCTGAGGTGAAGCAAAGAAAAAAGTGATATCCATGAAGCGTAGGAATTGGAAATTTTCTTCATAGAGGCAAGATTGTAACAGCTGCTCAAGGAAGAGAAGAAGATAGATAGGCAAGCGTAGCCGAAACATCCAATAACTAGGTTGTTAAATTGGTAATCAAATGTAAAGGGGTCGTTGGTCCGATGTTCCCATTCCAAATTTGTCTGATCCATAGCTATTGGCTGGGTCCTCCTGGAAACTTTGGCCTTTCATTTTCGAATTGACGAGAATCAAGTCGAAAGCATAGTTCCATGCAAAAGCACGCGGATGTTTCTTTAATTATTCCTCAAAAAGTCCCAATTGCTTCATTGCACTTGGAAAGTAACTTGTATTTCAACAGTCATAACATAAAAGCATAGCCATTAAAGAAATGAAAACAGGGAAATTATAAGAATCTTTCTGTTGCAACTGAGAATACTAGCTTCACAGTTTCATTAATTAAATACTGACAATAAGTCTTTTTCTAGTCTTCCACAGAAAGTAATTGGGTAAACTTTTCTTCTCTAGAAAACCATTACAATTCTTGGAAGGTTCCGTAAATTAATTTGTGTTGACTGTGACAGGATTGCTTCATGGGTTATTATTTTTTCTTGGAAAGCAAAGTTGCATCTGCTCCAGCTCCGATTTATTCATATAATTAACGGTTTTGATTAAAATCCCCACATTTGTAATTTATTCTTTTAAAGGATAAAAGATAGACCGGATGGCTATAGAGAGAAATATCTAGCAAGGATCGGATAATTGGAGTCAACTGCGAAAATTTTTTCTTTTCTTAGGTCAAGTTAAGTAAAGAATTAAAAATTGTTAATTAAGTCTTTTTTTACCTACGTAACTGATAACTGGGGGAGTGAAAAACCAATATTATTTCTAAGAGTGTAAAAAATATATATATATATATATATATATATAAATGTATCAATGGGTTTAAAGCCCATAAGATGTATTCAAAAATAAAACTTAACCTTATAAGTCAACTAAATATAATATACATTTTAACAATCCCTCAAACTGAAGATGATTCGAAATGAAACATCTAGAGTTTAGAAACTAAATAACAAAAACACGAACTTAAAAGAGATTTTGTAAAAAGACCTATCACTTATGATTCAGAAGAAATATGCAGTAGCACAATGATGCCTTTGTGTATCTCTTGTATGATAAAATGATAATTTATTTTAATATGTTTCATCCATTCATGAAAAATATCATTGTGAGCAATTTGAATTATACTCTTACTATCACAAAAGAGTGGAATAAGAGTAGGCATGTCAACACCTAAATCCATAAGTAACTGAACAACCATATAATTTCTAATGTAGTGTTTGATAAAGCTCTATACTTTGCTTCAACACTTGAACATGCCACATCTATCTGCTTTTTATTTTTTCAAGATATCAAAAAATCACCCAGAAAAACATAATAACCAGTTGTAGAATGTCAATCTTTAACATCACCAGCCCTATCAGAATCAGAAAAAGATGAAGTTCAAGTTTAGAAATTGATGAGAACAACAAAACCTTTATGTAGCATTCCTCGCAAATATCTCAATATCCTAAGAACTACAACAAAGTGAATTGTCCGAAATGCTGTCATAAATTGGCTTACAACTTGAACTGCATGACTAATATCAGGTCTTGTAACTGTCAAATATATAAAACTACCAACCAACTATCTATACAAAGTAGCATCATTAAGAAGTTCTCCATTAAAAGCTTTCATTTTAACATTAGTTTCAAGAAGAGTGTCAACAATTTTATTATCAGATAAGCCAGCTTTAGAAATAAGATCAGAAGTATATTTCACCTAAAACAAGACATATCCATGAGAGGAACAAACAACTTCAATTCCCAAAAAATATCATATTGGACCAAGATCCTTCATCTCAAAGGTTTTGCTAAGATGATTTTTTATATTCTAAATACCAACGTTATTATCTCCAATTATCACCATATCATCAACACAAAGAAGCAAAAATACAATATCTCTTTCAAATCGATGAATAAACAATGTTGAATCATAAAGACTTTACATAAATCTAGAGTCAAGAATAGTAGTGCTGAATTTCTCAAACCAAGCATATGGTGCTCGTTTAAGACCATATAAAGCTCATTGAAGCTTGCACACTTGATTAGTTTGGCAAAACAATCCAAGATGAGGTTTCGTATAAACTTCTTCATGAAGATCTCCATTCAAGAAAGAATTTTTTACATTCATTTGTGATAAAGCCCATCCTCGAATAGAAGTAATAGCTGTAAGAGTTCGAACAAAAGTCATTCGAGCTACAGGAGCAAAGGTTTCTTTATAGTCAATACTATACTCTTGTGTAAATCCTTATGCAACCAACTTGGCTTTATATCTCTTAATAGACCCATCTGATTTAGCCTTTACCTTGTACATTACCCACTTACAATCCATTACAGATTTTCCAAAAAGTAAATCAACATGATCCCAAGCATGAGTTTTCTCTAAAGCATCTAATTATTCTTTCATAGTTGCTTACCAAAGAGGATTAAAACTTGTTTCATGATAAGATTTAGGTTCATAAACAAAAAAAATTGTAGATAAGAAACAATAAAAATCATGATAATGTTTTGAAGGAATTTACTCACGTGTTGAACGTTTAAGTTTTGGGACAAA